TCCCCCGCATTTTTCATCATTTCAAATAACACTGACATCCATTCCTGATCCAATACATTGTTTTGGTGAAATTGAATCATTTCGTTTATAACGTTTCGAATTTGTTTCCGTATTACTACATCCTTCTCGTTTTTCAGATCGTGCACTGCTGCGCAGTAATCTTTAAATAAGTTATAATAACACTCAAAAGTTTCGTTGCTATTATTTGAAATATAACAGTCTACATTTACTTTATAATCATACCCAGATTTGGTGGTATCCTCTTCTTCTTCATTTACATCCTGCTCATTTACATCTTAAGTTGGATTTACTTGAGGAGTTGATGGAATTACATTTAAATCAACATCATCGTTAAAATAATCATTAGAATCTAAAGTAGACATCTTGATGTTACTTGTACAACAATTTAAACTTGAATGAATTTTGATAAAACGCGCTTTCTTTTATACTAAATTTTACCCCCCGCAAAGGGAAATTCTGTATGTAATAAAATACAGAACACCGGAATAGTTGGAAAACACACGCTAACCTACTATAGATCAAATCAATAGACCAAGTATATTTCAATTATGGTCTAATCACTCAAAAAGATCGAACAGGGCGTGGCTAGCTATAGTATTTGGCCATAAGCCAAAAACTATAGCTAGCCGGAAATTACTGCCCGTCACATCGGCTGATGTCGTGGAAGTCATTTCCACATTCTTATGTTATTGCCATACAATAAAAGCTCTGGAAACTTCGCAATTGACCTAAACGTTGTGGGAAGACATTTGTTCACGGCTCTTGGAAGAGGTCGATGTGAGTATTGCTATGTCGAGCCAAGTTTATTTGATAGTCTCCCATGTTTGGACCACCACACTCATAAGAAAACAACTTGTGATGGATGCGTTATCCGCAGTCGCTCAGTTAACCCTAGAAAATGCCAGGATTGTAATTTCTCATATTCATTTAAAATCATCGACACCTCAGACTGTTATGAATCTTGCAAAGCTTATATCCTTCAGAAAGTGTCCTATAAGGCCGAGCAGTGTGCAGAATCTTGTAAAAATTGTGCCCAGTGCATTCACGCTGAATATGCTGAAGAGCCAGGCACCCTTATCGAATTATTTTTAAATCCAATCTACAAAAGCCCAACCTTTGACGAACATATTGAATTCGTCAATAACAAGCTCGAAAAAGCGCAAGAGTATGCAGAAAAGCGAAGAGAATCATCCTCCAAAAGCAATTAAAAACATTGACAAGGTAAATGAGATTGTTAGAAATTGTGATATTAACGATTTGTGTTTTGACCCTATAAAAGAATCTTCTTCAACTAGATTAAGTAATAACAATTATAATAATTTTTGTGATATGTTTTTAAAATACAAAATCACTAACCAGTC